TTGAGCCAACTACTGTGAATAATACACTTATTGATCATGTATGGGCAAATTGCTTCAAGACAAAAATTAAAGTCTATGTTGGTGAAACTTATTTTTCGAACCACTTTCCTATTTATGTTGTTATTGATTGATATACTTTCAAAATTTAACGTACGTATACCAACGATTGAAGTATTATTCTTTTACGTCTCAAATTCCATGTGGTTTTGAGAGCAGGACCATTTCCGCGCCCGCATAACCGTACGCAGGCAAGTTTCGGTTTGCTCTGTGTACATGGAAATAAACGTAACGCATGCTAAAACGCACATAATCATTTTCCACCTTGGTTTAGCATTCACTCCCCACCTCGGTCAGAGTGCAGACGTAGAACAGGAAAGTCCGAGCCGAAGCTCCTCCTGAGTTGGAGACGAGCCTCGCGGATCCAGTCGATCAGCACCTTAGTGACAGCACCCTTGCTGCGCAAGGGGAAGACTGTGGTGTAACGCGAGTAGTCGTCAACCACCAACAGGAAGTAGCACTCGTGACCCTGCCCACGGACGTGGGCCGGGCCCCACATGTCCATGTGAAGTGTCTGCAGAGGAGCCTCTGTCGGGGGAAACTGGGAGGAGTGAGGAGCAGCCCTTGGGCGCACCTCGACACAGAGGACACAGGAAGGTCCTGGTCCCGAAGGAAGGGGAGGGAGAGACTGGGGAAGACCAGAGACAAGGACACGGGAAGCCATGCCCCGAAGACGGGGCAAGGAGGGGTGGCCAAGACGGTGGTGCCACAGGAGAGTCTCGTGAGACAAGAGGCGACACGAACAGGGGGCAGACTCAGGACCAGACCTGGACGCAGCAGCAAACACCTGACCTGACGCTGCTACCTGACCGGACTCAAGGACAGGAGGAGACTCAGTGGTCAGGGTGTAGAGGCTCGACCCCGGCCGACGCGAGAACGTGGCCAGGTGCCGGCCTGTGCGTGCGTCCGTGCAGTGGGTCACCCGCTGACTCGCAGGAGTGAACTGGTGAACCCCTGCATCCTGCAGGTCTGCACCACTCACCAAGTTCGTCGAGAACGAGGGGAGGTACAGGCCAGACAGGGTGCCCGAGGGGGCAGCCGGACACGGGAGGACAGTGGAAAAGTGAGAGAGGACAGGACCCCCCAGAGGGGTCAGCCAGGGAGACTGCAACCGGCCGACCAAGCGGCGTGAGTGTGGTGCGGTCCCGAAAGAAGGAGCGAGAAGCCCCAGAGTCAAGTGTAAAGGTAAGGGAGGCCGAAGCCAACGCGGTACCTGAGAGCGCAGCCTCACCCGCACCTGAGGAAGCAGACTCACTAGCACCTAGAGCAGCAGCCGCACCTGTACCTGGAGCAGGAGACTCACTAGCACCCAGAGCAGCAGCAGCCTCACCAGTAGCTAGAGCAGCAGGTCCTATACCCGGGTCCGGCGGTACGCACAGGTGACCGGCACGGTCAGCACTAGTAGGCAATGCATACATGGCAGTGACAATAGCATCATAGTCAAGAGCAAATATATCTACCCTCTGCCTAAGCAACTCCACCCAGTCGGGGAGCTCAGCCTCGTCGCCAAACACGGTACGCCAGGCGTCGCTCAGACGGGCGAAGCAGCGGGACTGTGTATGACCAGGTGTCCCACAAGGCTGACCAGTCCGAGCACCAGTGAGAATCACGTAAGAGCAGCGAACAGAACTGAGAGACCCTCTACTCTGAGCGTACCACTCACGAAGCTGCTGAGGCGTGAGAGACACGCGGGGGGGTCGCGGGAGCTGCATCTGGCCGCCACCAGTAGTAGAAGCAGCAGGAGTGGTAGCAGTAGTAGCGCCACCACCCCTACAGCCCCAACCAGCGTACCACTCACGCAGCTGCTGGGGCGTGAGGGACTCACGCAGACGTCGATGGGGCTGCATCTGGCTCCACCACTAGAGGCAGGAGCAGGAGTAGCAGCAGTAAGGTAGGCAGCCAGGCAAGCCAAAAAGGGAGGCAGGCAGGCAAGCAGGCGACGCGCAGCGTGCTAGCAGGGCAGGGGCTCACCAGTGGTGGGTAGAGTAGGCTCGGCGACTCAGAGGCTCGGCAGCACGGCGGCTCTGCGGCTCGGGCGACTCGGGCGGCTCGGCGGCAGGGCTGCTTGGCAGCAACTGCAGCTCGGCAGCTCGGCGACCCGGCGGCGCGGCTGCTGGGAGGCTCGGGTGTAGAGCGGCTCGGCTGCAGGGCGGCTCGGCTGCTGGGAGGCTCGGGTGTAGAGCGGCTCGGCGGCGAGGCGGCTCGGCTGCAGGGCGGCTCGAGACGAAGGAGGAGGAGAAGCAGGGGAGACCACACACCTGCCACCCCTCAGCTGGCCTCTCAGGTCGCCTCGACAGGAAAAGGGGGGGGGGGGGGGGGGGGGGGGGGGGGGGAGGCGGCTCGGGCGGCTCGGGCGGCTCAGGCAGCTCGGGTAGCTCGGGCAGTCAGCGGCACAGGCGGCTCGGGCGGCTCGGCTCCTCAGCTGCGCAGACGGCTCGGGCGGCTCAGGCTGCACGGCGGCTAACGGGCGGCGTGGGGGGGCCGGGACGGCGGCGTGCAGCAGGGACGGGCGGCGCTCGTGCGGTGTGAGGCCGGGACGGGTGAGGGGCCAGGACGGGCGGCGTCCTGGCGCCGAGGGGCCGAGACAGGAGAGCGCGGCCGGGGCGGGCGGCACAGGGCGGCTTGGGGCCGGGTCAGGCGGCGCGCGGGCGGTGAGGGGCCGGGACGGGCGCGCGCGGGCGGCTAGGGGCCGGGACGGGCGCGCGCGGGTGGCTAGGGGCCGGGACGGGCGCGCGCGGGTGGCTAGGGGCCGGGACGGGCGGCGCGCGGGCGGCTAGGGGCCTGAACGGGCGGCGCGCGAGCGGCTAGGGGCCGGGACGGGCGGCGTGCGGGCGGCTAGGGGCCTGAACAGGCGGCGCGCGAGCTGCTAGGGGCCGGGACGGGCGGCGCGCGAGCGGCTAAGGGCCGGGACGGGCGGCGCGCGGGCGGCTAGGGGCCTGAACGGTCGCGCGCGGGCGGCTAGGGGGCCGCAGGGCAGGCCGAAAGAGTGAGAGCGAGGGCCCGGAGCGCGCTCTGGGCAGAAAAAAAAGTTTAAAAGTGGTGGGCCCTAAGCACAGTAAATGCATGTGTTTCATATTCATGATGTCATACTTCACTTTTCTACCTTCCCAAATCCCTTGCATTTCTGTCAAGCTCAGCGCCCCTTCGCTTGAGTCGCCGGGTGGATTGCCTAAGCTCACAGCTAGCATCCATGATTCGACACTTCGCAGCGTCTTGGCATCTTTGGGGGACACTGCCACACGGATTCACCAGTGCTGTAAGACATACTTGGACGAGCACAGTGATGCTACAGACGTGCCAGTTTACATTAGCAACGTCTATCTAAACTCAGCATTGTTTACCACAACAATGCTTTCCAGCGCTGTCATTCTTGACTCTCGACGAGCGTTGGAGATCACAGATGCTCACATTACAGAGGAACCACAAGACGTCTGCCTCGTGCAGCTGTAAGTCGTCACACGAGCGCATATTAACAGTGTATAAGTAAGACGTTCGTTAGTAATGTTCCCGTTTTTCATATTCAGGATGAGTAGTGTGGACACACTCGTGATGACAACAAAAGAGGAGAAGATAGCGTCCCTCGTTGCTGAAATCAAGGATCCTTTGCACAAGTCTCGCAGAGTGTGCAAGGGTGGTTCGGGGGACTCTGCTTGTCGACTGCCTGTTTTCCGATCATGTCTCTCGCGCGAGTACGAATGCGACGAGCATGGATCCTCGTCGATCACCCAAATTGACGATGTCACCGTCACGCTTGTCGTAAAAGAGAGCGGTAAGTACCGTATGCATATGTTTTGTGTATAATCTTGCATGTTGTATTCTCGCAACAAGGTTTGCTATTATGTCTTCCTATTTTTCCAGTCTCATACACGGCTCAAGCGCATGGCTCGGTTATTCAACCGAGCATTTTGACCAAGGTGGTCTCGCATCTTCAGATGTCCACCTTTCTCTCTTTGCCCTCGGAGGAGCGCCAACGCATGTTGGCCGCTCTTCGAGGTCGTTGGCTTGTAAAGGTGCGTGGATTGGCTCTCCAAGATTGTTGAACGTATTACATATACAACGGATGTGTTATGTACCAACACTTATATCTATCATCTACACTATCTAAAACCTTATGTTTGAGTTGTGACCAGTTATACTTCGTTCCCATTTCATGTACACCTTCATTTCTTTCAACTTGACTTCCTTCTTGCTTTCATTCCTTCCCTCATTCCCTCTTTTCCTTCTATCAGTTTTTTATGCTTCCTCTTTCCTTCCTTCTCTAATCTCTTTTTTCGTCTTTTTCTCTCCTTCCCTGCTTCCCTTCTTTCCTTCTGAGAAAATGAGAACGAGAATGAATGAACTATGAAACAGTTGGGTACAAGTACTAACCCGAATTGGGTTGTACCCCATATGGGCTACCCCACTACAGCCTACACAAAAGCACAAGCTATAATGTTCTGACACACCCCCATAGGCAAAGTGGGGGAGAACAAGCGGTCACAAGACCAGTCAAGCAAAGCAAAGCAAAGCAAGCTCAGGGTGGATAAAAAAGTCACCACACATTCCGAGCACAAGTTCAAGGCCACAAGGCCAGTTCACATGCATGAGTACATATATATAGAAAGCTAGACAAGCAAGAGCAGGTGTATATATATGTAACAGTACAAGCAAGGTCAAGAGGTGAGCAAGTGAGGCAAGACAGGCACAAGACCAAGCTGAGTACAGAAGCGCTGATGATCACAAGGCGCAAGTGCCTTGGTGAAAACATCAGCAGTGTTGGCCTCAGAGGCCACGTACGCAAGTCGCAACTGACCACGCTGCTGCAACTCACGAGCAAGAAAGTAGCGGAGAGCAATGTGCTTCGTTCTGTGCTCCAGGCGCTGCTCCCGACACAAGGCTAGCAAGTGGGGGTTGTATTGCATGTGGTGCTTCCAAATGTTGAGGTACGTTGTGTGTTGTTACTACTATTGGGGCACACTAGAGGTGGTTGAGCCATCATGCTAAGAGACATGAGTATTACACATCTTGCACATCCTCCCCTTGCCCGGCAGGAGAGGCCCAAACATTTGAACCGCCCACCCAAGCGTCTTAGAAGCCTTGGACTTCTCCAATGTTGGAGCCAACTCAACCAAACCCGCCCCCTCCCTTACCCCTTCCCTCCCCCCTCGTTCCCCTCCCCCTCTTGCCTGTTCCTCTTACCTTTCCCTTCCCCTTCCCAGGCTTAGGTTTAGTTGCCTCAGCATCCATGACCTTGCCCTTCCCCCTTAGCCTCCCCACCATTCCTCTCGGGCCCACCTCCCCCACCTCATCTCTGGGGGCATACTCCGATCCGCTATCGGATCCATTGCGTGGAAAGAGTGGGGCTTGCCTCGTCACCCGCACCCATTCTTGTGCCAACCCCTTCTTGAATCCGCCCCTTCCACCCAAAGCATCCTCCACCTTTGCATCCTTAACCCGCTCATCCGCATCACCCTCCCCTCCCTCCTTCTCCTCCTCCTTCTCCTCCTCCTCCTCCTCCTCCTCCTCCTCCTCCTCCTCCTCCTCCTCCTCCTCCTCCTCCTCCTCCTCCACAATTGGCAACGGTCTTATGCTACGGTGTAAGGTGTGTGTGGAGGTGGCCAAACCATGGAAAATGGTACTGTGACCCTCTACCACTAGGGGGCTGTCCGCAGCTGCGTGCATGCCCGAAACGCCCGACCGTGCTGCCAGCTCCACCACCATCGCATCCCACCTCCTCCCCTCTACCTCTCGGACGTTGTATTGTTGTATATTGCTAGGCATTGGCAAGTATGGATCAAAATACTATTTTTGCACTGCAACCAGCCGCCTGCGTGATGTTATGCATTTTGTGTCTGTTCTGTGTGCATTCGTTTTCGCATTTCGTTTCATGTGTTGTTGCTGTCGGATCATGTTCGGTCATGACGGATCATGACGAGTCATGTTCGTTCGCTCATGTCGGCTCATGTACGCTCATGTTTGTTTTCATCAACGAACATGTGCGCTCATGAAAGTTCTGTGCTTCATGAGTGTTCTGTGTTTCATGAATGGCGAGTTATTTTCATGAGAGCTGTTGTGAATGTCGAGTGTGTTTGAGTTAGGGGCTCGATTGTTTGACCAGCCCCGTTGACCATTTCGCGCTGGTCAATGAAAAAGTGCGCGAGGTCAGGACCCGCGCGTGGGGTCCTGACACGCGCGTGTGGTCGTGCAGGGCCCACGCGTGTGTCGCCACTGTTTCGATCGTGCACAGTGGGCACGATCGATACAGAACGGAGCGACATGATCGCTCCGTCACGCGCAGGACAACGCACGATCGCGTCAGCGATCGTCTTGTCCTGCACGACCGAGAAATATCTCGGTCGTGATGAGGGGCACGTGGGGCACGTGGGGCACGCGAGATTTTACGGTTGACTAACGGGATTTCGCGCTGACCAGGCGAGCAGGAAAATTCGCCAGAAAGTCGCGCTGCTTTGCGTCATTATTTCGACAGAGGTACAAAACGGTAAAGTCCGTTTGTAACTGAAGAAAACGGTAAACCCACACGAGTGTTCGTGATTTGTACACGAGCGATCATGAATGTTCACGAGGGGAGTCAGCAGGAGAATTTGGCAGCAGTGCAGTGGAAGACAGTTATTCTACAGAGGCAGATCAAGCCAAATTCTGAAGCAGTTTTACAACCGTTTTCCATGACAGCAAAGCGAAGACCTGGACGACAGTTAGACAACTGTTTTGTGCGTTCTCCTTTGTGCACCTAGGACCTCTCTTATATGTGTGCTTGTATTTGCTTCCATCAACAATGCTTTCATGATTTTCAAGCTTACAATCTACTACTACGTATTGACGAGAGTAGATACACAACGAACTTCTGCCGAAACTCTGCTCTACCAGAACGCTCATTCTGCAAACTAAGTGTGGCATAACTACTCGCTTGTTTCACAAGTGATGTTAAGTGTTGCCTAGCTTATGTTTGTGGCTCTGAGTTAATCGCTTCCGCATAGTACTTAGAGTTAACACGTGGTATCAGAGCTGGTCCTTAGCCATTCTCAACGTATCCATCGATGGGGTCGCCTGGAGAAGAAGGGAATTCAGCCCCCGCGAGTAGTGGTAACCAAGAATCTGGTGTCTCCGCGCCTAGGATAGCCCGGACGAGCCAGGGCCCGCTGCTAAGAGAGGTGTTGAAGAACTTCTCCGTCGACAAGTTTAGTGGAGAGGGCTATGACGACTGGTCTTGGAAGATGCAGCTGTATTTTCGGCAAATAGGTCTTTTAAAGCTTATGATAGGCAGCGAGAAACGACCTAGTGCCCCGGAGCTACAGAACGAGTGGGACGAACGTTCATCCGCCGGGTACTACATCTTGTCTCAAAGCCTAGATCTCGCTCAACGCCAACATATCATGCACCTTCTCCCGGAGGAAGAGTGTGGTCCTAAGGCATGGACCGTGCTCAAGGATCTCCATGCTCCCACATCAGTTGTAGCTACTCTCATGTTGGAGAGAGAGCTTTCCACCCTACGCCTCAGTGAAGGAGAACCCGTTCAGCCCATCCTAGACAAGTTGAGAGAACTCTACGCCAAGCTCGCCATCGCTGGAATCGTCTACCCCGAGCAAACCAAGTGTGTAAAGATGTTGTCACTGCTGCCGGAATCTTGGATGATCTTCACGAGCGGCTTAAGCCTTCCCCAAAACCAAAGCCTCTGGACGTTGGAGTGGATCCGCACCAAGATACTTGAGGAGGACTTCCGGAGGCGCCAATTAAGGGGAAGTGAAGAGGGGAGCAGCAGCTATGCCATGCAAGGAGGCAAAGGGGGTAAAGGCAAGAAATGGCAAGGGGCGGGGAGGGGGGCTGCTAAGGATGAGGAGCCCTCAAGTCAGCAAGGTGGCAAGGGAACGGGACGTGGTGGAGGCCGTAGTGGCAAAGGGGGAGGAAAGGGAGGCGGGAAAATGGAGGGCAAGTGCTGGTATTGTGAGAAGGTGGGTCACCCTTGGTTTAAGTGTCGTTCTAAACCTTCATGGTGGACCCCCTCCAACAGGACCAAGGATGGGAGCGGCGCCGGAGCGGTAGCCGATGAAGAACCGGCTGAAAATGAGCAACGGGAAGCCGGTCAATTCTTCCACGTTGGGGAGCCGGAAGAGGAGGCGGTGATCGCCCATGCTGGAGCTTCACTGCATCCGCTCAACACGTGGATATTGGACACGGGAGCGGCATGGACCATGACTCCAAGGGCCGATCTCCTTGACAAGGTCGGGACCGCACCAATTGCTGAGGTGAAGTCGGCATCCGGGCACGCTCTCAAGGTGACGGGGGCAGGACGTGCTGCATTCAAGGGTGCCGACGGCAAGCCGGTGGTGTTGAGCGATGTGCTACTCGTCCCTGACCTCAAGGCGAATCTAATCTCCCTCAGGAAGCTGGGCAAATGTGGGGTCAGCACTTCCACCGATGGTGCCAAGACATTCACGGGACAGCTGGGAAAGCGAGTGTTGTGGGACCTTCACGAGAACCGCGACATTTGCAAGTCAATGTGGCAGCTGCCGGTGGTGTTATGGGGCAAGGAGGGTGGATCTGAGGGGGAGTGCAATGCTGTAGCTGCAGAGGAGCTGAAGGTTTCAGCAAAGAGCGGTGAAACGGACTGGATGACAGCCCACCGTCGCCTCGGGCACATAGCTATGCCCGCACTGCAGCAACTGCAAAAGGGGGAAGGGGTCAAGGGGCTGAAGCTGATTGGTGCAGCGGTCTCTCACAAGTGTGAAACTTGCATGCTAAGCAAGTTTACACGCTTCCCCTTTCATGCAACCGAGGGTGGCGGCAAGAAGCTCTTAGAGCTCGTGCACATGGATGTGGTGGGGCCGCTACCGGTGATAGGGGAACGGGGTGAAAAGTATTTTCTCACAATTGTTGATGATTGGAGCCGAGTGACTTGGACTTATCCAATCAAGAAGAAGGACCACGTGCCGTCCATCATACGTGACGATTGGCTGCCGTTGGTGGAGAAGCAGTCCGGGCACAAGGTGATGCGGATTAGGACTGACCGGGGTGGGGAGTTCCTTGGGGAGGAGCTGACTGCATGGCTGAAGAAGCAGGGCATCATCCACGAGCTCACCACCTCATACACACCGCAGTCCAACGGCGTAGCTGAAAGGGCCAACCGCACGGTCTTGGAGACAGCACGTGCACTCCTCATTGAGTCGGGGTTGGGGAACTCCAAGTGGCCACATGCTGTGCGCCACGCCACGGTGGTGAAGAACCGGGTGTTCACCAACGTTGGTGGTGAGTCATGGGTCCCCATGGAGAGGTGGCTTGGGAGGAAGCCGCCCATTGACATGCTGCGTGTGTTTGGTTGCATGGCAATGGCTCACATTCCCAAAGCACACCGTAGTAAGTTGGGTGCAACGGCTGTTTGGTGTGTGCACTTGGGGTTGGCAGCGGAAAGCAAGGGGTGGCTGCTATGGGAGCCGAGCAAAGGAGTGGTGTTTGACAGCAGGGATGTCAAATTCATGGAGGACATCACCTATGGGAGCTGGTCCAAGCAGCCAAAGGAGAAAATCATGCAGCAGCTGGAGCAAGCAACGATGGGGTTTGATGCGGAGGAGTGGGTAGAGGAGGAAGGTGCAACGGCACTCGAAGAGGAGGGTGCAGCAGAGCTTCCTGTGGTCAAGGATGTGGAACCAATGGTTGCACCTGAACCACCCCACCCTATAACACGTGTGATTCCCCCCACTCTTCCCCCAAGAAGGACCCAAATCAAATCCCCTCCCACAGGTCGTGCTCTTTCACCCATGATTGCAAGCCAAATGCGAGCAGCCGCATTGAAGCTGAGGAATTACGGAGGAGCAAGGGGAGAGCAGCAGCAACATGACGCATTGCTGGTGCTTCAAAGTAGCTGTGACTCTGATAAGGAAGAGGAGGAGGAAGTCTATTGCTTCATGGCACCCGCACCAACTCAACCGCTGAACATGGAAGAAGCGCTCAAAGGACCGGATAGGGACAAGTGGTTGGCGTCAATGGATGCTGAATACAAAAGCCAAATGGAAAATGGGACATGGGAGCTGGTGCCACTGCCTGAGGGGAAGAAAGCCATAAGCTGTGGCTGGATTCCAAGGATTAAAACTGACAACAAAGGAGCCGTGTCGGTCTACAAGAGCAGGCTGGTGGCAAGGGGTTACCAACAGAAAGAACGGGAGGACTTCAAGGAGACCTTTGCTGCAACTCCTAAGTCACCAACATTGTGTGTTCTCCTCGCAGGTGCAGCTGTGTGTGGGTGGGTGATAGTGCAGATGGACATCACCACAGCTTTCCTCTATGGGCTGATCGATGTGGAGGTGTTCATGTCACAGCCGCAAGGTTATGAAGACGGCACCGGGCGTGTGTGCAAGCTGAAGAAGGCCATCTACGGCCTCAAACAAGCACCACGCTGCTGGTACAAGAAGCTGTCATCTGTTCTAGAGGAGATAGGGTTCAGGGCGAGTGCATGTGACGAGGGCCTTTTCCTCATGGGGGAGAAAGAAAGCCTCGTCATGTTCCTGGTATACGTGGACGACATCCTCTTGTTTGGGAGCAGCAAGCAGGAGGTGATGAAGGTGCAGCAGAAGCTGATGCAAAACTTCAAGTGCAAGACTCTGGGGGAGGCGAACTACTACCTTGGGATGCACATCGAGAGGGATGTCAGCAATGGATGGGTGAAGCTGCACCAGGAGAAGTATATCAACGACATGGGGAGCAAGTATGAGATTGAGGTCGGAAGGAAAATTGTCACACCACTTCCATCCGAGTTCAAACTCGTCAAGGCT